GATGAATTCAACTGATCTGACCGCACCGTCATTCTGAGCTGACAAATCAGAAAACGTTATCCTCTCTTAGCACCACTAACTTATCATCATTCTGCACTTTCGTACCGAGGCTATTGATGAATTTGTATGCTTATTACCAATTGCTCTGGTACCTAACTTTGCACTGTTTACATGATCTATTCAGTACAGTGACATTTGGTAATGCATACGAAAAGTTTAAATTCGATGTGATATGTCATCTTGTATGGGTGCATTAGGTGTTCAACAACATACATATAGTATACAGTTTAATGATAAGGTAGAGAATTTGCAGAATAACAGACACAATGAACTGGTTGTTATTCGGTTGTTGCTTGGTTTCGAGGAATGCCCACCGAGCTAGACATCAACTCCAAAAACTATAAACGGATTTCGGACAGTTGATGTTGCATTCTTCGCCAATATATTCACTGCACTCGGTAGAGGAACCGTCAGATATGTGGATACAACTGAACTCCAATGGTGCCGTAATTGGCGATCGAACGCTTCGAGAAGGTTTTCAGGTAAGAAATTCAAACTTGATGAACGCAGCACGTTGAAAAACAATTGTGGGCGATGACTGAAATTATGAAGAGAGTTTCAACGAATATGTGTTCATTACGGCAAACCAGTAGGTCTGTGGCCATGTTTTCATACCACATTCTCTTGTTTTTTTTACAAAGGCAAAAAAGAGCTTCAGTTTATGAGCAAGTTGGTTATGTGATGAAGAGAATGGGCGAGAAATTGCTCTGGTGAACAGCCAGCACGAGTTCCGAACGAAACTATTGCGACATTTTGCTGCTTTTCGAGCAATGTTTCCAAGCAACTAAAAACGAAGTGTAAACAAACCTGTAAAGTATTCTCAACAATAAACTGATAGTGAATGTNTGCTTCTTGAAAAATGCATTCTTGAAATATCAACTTGTAAGAAGATCGATCAGATTTCGAGCGCGCAACTACATTTGGTATGAACACCGCCTAAGGCTAGTTCGTAACTGAACATGACTATTGGATTACAAACACTCTCAACAATCGTAACGTCAGGAATCAGTCCAATTATTTCTGAGACAGAAATGTGAATTCAATTTGATACTACTTCACGGAAAAGCAAAATGTTGAACCTATGATAAACAACACTGAAAAGCGAACTTATTGAAAATAGCTTCTTGATGAATTGTTGAGAGTATCTCATCGACCAGCTGTGGCCAAATCAAGTATGTGATATCGTAAGGGTAGTGTTCCAACAAAACGAGCTCATCACTCGGAATACTATCGTTTTGCACGATACCGTAATGATACGTTGTTAAATCACCTTCATATGACAAGACGGGTTTTGACGACAATAAATTATTGAGAATCGCATCTGAAATCAAATTGATTTTGGGCAAGCAACTCACTGCAATCATTCAACAATTTTGCATTGAGCTCGTGCCATTCAGCTACTTTTCATGATCATAAAAATGGTAAAAGCACTGTTAAGGCTTTCCAAATGATCGTAGCAATCTCATCAATCCGATCTGACAGTCGTGTTAATC